TTTGTTCAATTTGACTAATTCAATGAAACAAGAGAGAGAATTTACCTTTTTTATTAAATCTATAATAATCAGTATCACAGACTGGTCTTGTCATACCAAAGTCTCCAATTTTCACCATACCATTGGAATTCACTAGACAATTTCTACATGCCAGATCCCTGAAATAAATTTAAATGCATTCTTTACTCCATTCTCTTTCCTTAAGAGACCCTTTAATCCTGGTAATGGACTTGTCCTGTTTTGATTTTGGAACTGTCCATTGTTGATGTAAGGGATTTCAATATCAAAATAATTAGTTGAATAATTAACAGTTTAAAGCATGGATATAATAAAAGTGCAGGCTGGCCTGGCTCTATGTTGGTTGCAGCAAACTGAAACTCTACGAGTTAAAAAAACAGTTGTAATGAAACAGTGTTTTCTTATTCACAATGTTTATTCAGGATTTTTGTTGCATACTGTACAAGATTTTGCACAACATACTAAATTCTTATTACTTGTGTGCATACTAGTAATGTGTGTTATGCATATAAAACGCATTGACAAATTTTCAGAGAAAATTGAAAAAGAAAACCAACCCAAATAGTCTTATAAATGTCTAACTGGGTCCACTGCCTACAAGTTTAAGTTTGTATCAGAGTGTTTACCTATGGACAAATTTGAGATCATGAAGATATCGGAGCCCTAGAGCCACATCTACGGCCATCTGTGTCAACTTATGTGCATTGACGTCCTCAGCCTCCTTCGCTAGAGAGCCAACCATGTTACGTCTAGACAAGAGGTAGGTTTTTAAGTCACCTGTATGATACAATTATAAATCTTATGAAATAAACAGTTGTCATATGCTAAATTTTTTTTCTCATTGATACAGGAGTAGGAGTTTAGAAAATCAAGGCTGTTTCAACAGAGTTCGAGCCATCAAAGTGACTTTTGCTTAACTATTGATAAAAAAATTTACCTTCTGAAGATAAAACTATTAAAATGATAAATCCTGTAATTATAAGTTAATTTATAAAACTTTTTTCATCAATTATAACAATCTGATTAGAATTAATAAGTCTGACCATGCAGGACATATAAGATTTGAAGTAAAATCAATATAATGATACTGACAAATTTCATAATAAAATTTGTTCAATTTTCATAAAAAAAATTGTTAACATTATTGTGTAAATAGATTACCATGTAGTAAAAACTCCATTATAAAATATGCAGGCTCTTCACGTGTACATACACCATGTAATGCTACAATATTCTGGTGGCTGAATCTTTTCATTAACTCTGCCTCGCTTAAAAAATCAACCTGAAATTACATCCAAGAATCAAATTACAAATGAGAATGTAAAGATCATTTCCCATCTTCATCTATAATCAGGATTAATTTATGAAAAGTAACTGAAACATTTGCATGTTATTTAAAGAAAACTCATGTGTTTTTTTTACATGGTAATACAATATGAAATTCAATGACAATGCGTAATATTTTAAATATAATGCATATAAATGAAACCTACAATTTTGATCTACAAATAACATTCTTATCCAATACATGTATATATATACATAGATGCCATAGCGAAAATAAGGCCTTTGTAAAATATGAAAACTTATCTTGTATACATATATCATATACAGTATCAAAACAAAGAATTTTGAAACATCACCTTTTCTTGAACTGTTGATCCAACTTTGAGCGTCTTCACAGCAACAGCCACCCATCCTTCGTCATCAATTTGGGCCTCCCCACCATAAACTGTTCCAAATGCTCCTTCACCCAACTTACGATTCAACACGACCTTTTCCCGTGGAATTTCCCATTCATCCAATGAGAAACATTGTGAAAAGTCATTGGTCAATAATCCAAGCTCTCGCATACGTTGATGTGTTGCCTTCACCTTTTTGTCATACCTGTGTAAAGAATAATACCTTATTGTCCTTGACATCATACAAAGATATCATTCGACCCTTGAATTAAACAATGTTATTACAGTTTTTTTTGCAAATTCCTCTTTTCCCTTCAAATATATTCATCTGATTCAGAAAATACTAAAATTTATAACTTTTTAAACTTAAACAACCATTACTAAATATATGTATGTAAAAATAGTAGATCATCAAATCAGGAAATTATTCAAAATAATATTCCATAATTTGACTGAGTTTTGAAGTTAATTGTTATTGAACAATGAGCATAATACGCCAAAAACAAAGTTATGGCAATGTTATGGTAACATTTTGAAAAATAACGTAGGTAATGGAAAAAAATAATCTAAAATTATTTTTTTTCTTCAACTTGTCAGTCAAGAATGCATGCAGACTTTGCGATTTTGACAGCAAAAGAAGGGTTTTATGCTCTGGATAAAAAACAAACAGGATTGGTCAGTTAGAACCTCAAATTCATATTGTTTTTGCCTCATCAACAGCTGTCTTATCATAAACTTAAACATTTAATTTCGTACATGTATATAGAATGGTACCAACCTGACTTTGAAGAAGATGAGAACACATATAAGAATGATAACAAAGGTACCAAACGCCATCACATTAGCTATAACTATAGCAAGTTCACACGTTATGTTGAACAATACACGGAAACCTTCTATTACACAGTGCTCCTCCTCTGTAACATAGATATAGCATATGTGTAATGAGAACATTCAAGGAGACAAATAATATAGCTCCATAAAAATGCAATTGTTTAAAATGTATCTTTTGAAAGTAACTAACAATCTGAATAATGGATATGTCTGGCTTTGAATTTGAAATAGCTCAATGGTAATTTGGCCAGACTGCATAGAAGTACAGGTTGGCCTGGCTCTATACTGGTAGCAAAGGCTATGCTATTTCAGTTTCAGCATTAAAGGAGCTAACTTGAACATTCTTCAAAGTTGATCATTATTTCAATATACCTGGATTTCCATCAGTAGGTTTCATTCCATTTACAGTCAGCCATCTTAGACTTGAACCCTTTATCTCCAGTGTACCTTTCTGGTTGTCTGGGCCCGGCTCATAACGACCAATCAGGCGAGTTTCGTTAAGAAAATATTGCACAATAGAAATGGTTCCTGGCCTGTCTCCCCCATTAAAATGGATATGACCTGACACACCTTGGAAATTTGTTTTATTTATCTCGTCCACAAATATACTGTAAAATAAAATAATTTCTATACATGTTATTTACAGTATAGTATAATAGAATAATAAATAATTGACTAAAAAATTACCAGTATAATCATGTAGCAGATTATTTAAAGTTTCTTATTATTCCATAATCAAAGCATAAAAATACAGTCATAACAACTCACTTTGTATTTTCATTTGAATGGATATCTTCCAGGGCCCCAGGACTCCTTCTCAGGAGTCTGTCCAGTGCCTTAGCATACGTCCAAACAGCATCATACACAAATGATGCAAATGGTGTTTCATCAAAGTCCTAAACAAATGAGTAATGAATAAAAGGAAATGAATAATATAATTATAAAATATTGTATAATATAATACATAGTAAAACATTATTAAGTTTAAAAGCAGATGTAAAATGGAAAAGCCTTTAAAGGTGTCTGCCTCTGACCCCAATTGTAGTTTCAAGCCATTCTGGATACTTTCATCCATCAAAATCAGAAGTCTTAACAGATACAAATTTGTTACAAGATTTAACTTTAATAACAATATTAACCCTTTACCACATATATACGCGAAACAACGCACTTTCCCCCCCCCCCCTTTTACTAGGCCTCAAATAGTGAAAAAATGTCCTATTTGGGCCCCAAACATAAGTTTTCATTTGAGAAATATTGCTTAAAAAATTGAGCACTTTTTCGGCGCCGCCCCCCATCCAAAAGATACATCAGGGGGTTGCCAGAAGGGGGATGTGCCCCCTTCTATTAGGGGGGTTTGAAGGGGGGCGGATTCCCCCTCATCGCCAAGAAAATTTTGAACTTGTGAGAGGCTAAAAATGACCCCAGGTCGATCATAATGAAACGTTTAACCAACGCTGAAAAGCCTTTGACTCTATCTCAATCCCTTGAGCAGTTGCAGCACTTTGAAATAAATTTTGATGGGAAAAATCGAGGCAAAATAGTGATTTTTGGCAATTTTGAGATGTCCCTTCATTGCCATGGTAACAGGAAATTTAAGACTGAGCATGTCGTTACAAAGGCAACGGTCCAGTCAACATTTGTGCCAAGTTTGATTAGTATTGAAGCATTTTTCATAGTTTCATAGCAGTTTGAACTTGTAACAGGAGGCTTTTCAGTGAAAACGGCCATTTTTCACAATATGCTCATGGGGGAAAGGGTTAACTAACAAAAGCTGTCTCTAGGGCTGTGTGCTTGACTATTCTCAGTGCTTGAGAGTAAAACAAAATCCATGTTAGAGATATGGGCTTTGGAAACTCCTATTACACATGTTCTCTCAAATAAATGTGTGAAGGGGCAACTCATTCTTTTCAGTAGATACCAACTTGCATGCAAACTTATCCAAAGTGTGATACTGACACTGAAGTACGATAGCTTTCCCTATACTAAAGTCATGCTAAAACTCAGTTAAACAGCCAAATGCTTTACTTTCAAAGATGTACACGTAATAATTATTTCAGTAGAATCTTAACATCAAGTTTTACTTTACAGATATATAGGTAATTTTCTAAATCATAACTTACAGCTCTCCCTACTCTGAACTTATACAGTTCTTTATACTGTCCAATGGTAATCCCTCCCACGACAGGCGTGCTGTCAGGGTCAGAGAAGGTCTTCTGCAGTATAAAGTGCCCGTCTACAGCATACTCCATATTTTCTGTTGTACATGGAATATGTTCCTGGGGACGATTATCACCCGTGCTCGGAGGACTGTTGTAGTAATCAACATCCCACCAATGCTTGGCATACCAGGATGGTAAAAACCAAACATAGCCTTCATGGGCTGTCATTCTCTGAAATTATTGAAATACATGTATGTAATCTAAAAAAGTTGTGATTTTGGCTTACATACAGATTATTCAAGATGTATTCCTGATTTTATTAATAAATGTCCATTCAAATCTAATTAGTAATCTCTGCTTATAATTTTTATTTTATCTATAAACTAAAGCATATTGTTAAAGAGAATGGCCCAAAAATGTATTATGTACCAAGATTAAACTCAAATCAGTGTCTGCTTATCCATATTGATCTTCATAACTAGAAAATCTCAACTTGTGTAAAAAGTTTAAACTCAATGTTACAGAGTATTTAATATGCCTGGTGTTGAGCATTTTTTACCTATTAACCTAAATGTTTAAAGGTCTTAGAAAAAACATTAGTATTGTTAGTGGTGGAGAGGGGTATTGAACCTGTGACACCTAAGAGAGTGAACAAATTTCTTGTCATGAGTTACAACCAACCTGTCTCCAAGCTTCACACATGACTGCTCTTGCTGCAAACACAAACACATCTGCAATGATAACGCGAACATTCTGGGCACGTAGATCAGCAAATATCTGTGACACATCAAGCTCATTCAGACTAAAGTTTCGTACAAGCCTACGTTTAACAACCACAGATATCCCAGAATGCTGTAGGTGCTCTTGAAGTAGGAGATGATAGTTTGGGAACTCGTGACCACCCTCAGAAATAGCACCAATCTGTTTCCAGTTCATAGCTTTAAAAAAGCTTTCATACACAAATCTGAAAAACAAAACATTTAATTTCTTTATTAAACAGTGCAGAATGATGATGAAATCTTGATCATTCTCACAATAAGAAACATTACTTAATGAATAATATATCTAAATTTGTTACATGACTATACAATTCTTGTCAAAGTGTGATATTCAAAAACTCAAAAAATAAATTCATTTAAGTTGTAACAACAGTAATTTCCCTTTGATATAGAGTTGGATGTTCAAGTTAATTCGCATTAATCTCAACATGGTCTTAAAAAATACAAATGTAACAATGTTTTATGCAGTTTGATTTGAACTCAAACCAGGAACTTCTAGAAAACTGTTCCACAGCTCTACTGACTACTAAGCTGAAAGACCCCTTTCAAATTTATCCAATATGATGGACAGTTCCCTACTGAAATAACACTTATGATATACTGTGGAAGGTCCCGTAGAAAAAGGTATTTTTTCCCATCTGACAAGATGAAGTTTTGCTCCATAAATTTTTACCCCAGTTGAAATGTGTGATAAAGCTGCAATGGGCCCGGCTTCATCAGAACATCCTGGACCTATATTATAAAATGTAATCAACTGATCAGCAAATTTTGGAACAGTTTATTCAAAAATTAAGTTATTTTGGTATCAAAATACAAAAATCGAGCTTTTAACAGTATAGAACTAGTCAGTCTGCATGAATTTTATGGCTGGCGTGACTATATAATGTTGGCAAGGTCTCTTCACTTTGGGTTCCAGCAAGGTATGGTTTTACATATACAGCATGTGAAATATATAATAATAAATAAAACAAACACATTCAAAATGAGATATACTTCAGCAAATATTTAACTTAAAAACCACTGGTGTAAATCCTGTATTTCACTGCTTAACATAAAGTTAATCTATGAATGCTAGATAAACTGACAAATTAAAAATTACAAAACATGTACATAATATATATCAATATAACACATGTGCAATGGCAAAGGTCTGGAAACAAAGTGAGTTTTTTAATTACATCAATAAAATTCTAATAAGTTACTGCTTTTTACAATGTTAAAGCATGGAAAAGCTTTCATTAAGCTTTTAATGTTTTTGTTTTAGAAGATATGAAGTGAAATCCAATGGTTAATATGTTAGTTATAGCCTGGTTGATGTTATAAAAGTTTACCTAGAATGCCAGCTATAGGCATGGAAGCATTTGTGATATATTTGATGAAAGCCTTCATGGAGACATCAGGTAGACATTCACTGTTACTAACAACCAGTTCTAACTGGTGCTCAGGTAATATACTGGGATCCTGGTTGATCAAGTCGAGGGCTAACTCACCACCTGAATAAAATATAACTATATCATAAATTCATCATATCTCCTGGAAGTAAGACTTCTGTCCCTTCAATTTTTGCATGTACATGTATACTTTGCAATAAAAAATATATCAATAATCTGAATGTTTTCTATGGTTTTCAAGTAAGAAAGTTCTCTCCACTATTCTGAACTTAATACATTGTACTTTTATTGCAGAAAAAATTTGAATCCATTTACATATTTTTTGCTGATTTAAAAGTTTATAAATGTTATATGTTAAAATATAAAAAATCATCATATTTTCTGCATTTTTGAAATGATAAAGATTCTATTCCTGTTTTTAAGTTCCATATTTTTGAAATCCAATAGGAAACTTTGCCTTATATTATAAATCTTAAAATGGCATGGAAACTCTTAGAAAAAATAGTCGAGGCAGCCAGTAAAGTTATTTCATTTAATGACAATGTAAAGAAAGTAGTGGCCTATTGGCTAAGGTGTCTGCCTCCTTATCCATGGATCATGGGTTGAAGTTATGCTGGTGGGGTCACTTCAATGTTTCTTCATATGACACCAGTACTTGTAAGTTCCTTTAAGTGAACTAAAAAGTGGTTTAAATGATCTTGAAAATTTCATCATAGTTAAGCTAAAGAAGTAGAGTAAAAATATTCTCACTTTCGTAACTTTCGTTCAACAACAATGTAAACACAACATTTCTTACCTTGAACAAGACCTGGCTCCATCCAGTACTGTCCAGTGATAGGAAACAGTCCACCTAGAAAGATTCTGGTTTTATTGGACAAATTATCTGGCAACCATGTCTTCCAAACCTTCTCATGATTTTGTATCCAAGCACAGGCAATTTCATCAACATACGAATAGCCTCGGAACATTTGTAATAATCTTATATATTCATCTTGATGAAACTTTAACTTTGATATAACATGGTAGGCTTCTGGGATACTTGTCTTTAACTTTGACCACACTATCTTTGTGAACTGATTCAAACCAAAGTCACAATCCATGGGTAACTGTGTTAGATCATCCTGACAGAGTGGGAATTTAATCCTGGTAAAAAGTTTTCCAGCTGTTAAAATGTTGGGATCCCAGCTGAAGAAAAGTACAGGGAGGTTGTTACTAACACGATCATAAACAAAAGATCGCAGATGAGGTCCTATCCATGCAATATTAACAGGGAGGCTGAGATTTCGTATCTGTGCCTTTAATGCACCCATATCCATGTCTGAAATTATAAAACATTCTTTTTTATAGTAATTCAATTTTCTAATTAAAAAGAAATTGAATGGATACATTATATCAATTAAGTGGTCAAAATATATTTAAGAAGTCACTCAATATTAATGTTGTAGAACCTTAATAGAATGCCAAAGGAACAAATAAGGTCATAGAGAGGCTATGTGAAGATTGACTAGCCACTCACATTGTAAATTAATTTCAGAAGGACTAACACCACACTGGCAATTATAAATTTCTAAGAAGTATATTACAAAAAAAATCTATTTATTCTAATATTAAATTCAGTGTATTTAATCATGTAAACTAGAATAAAGTTTTTCAATAACCTGGATAACTTGAGAGCAGGGTAGCACATGTATACATATTAGTCGGGCTACATTTCGGGCCGTAATAGATTCCTTCCACACAATCTCCACTGTTACAATAATACTTGTGGTTTGGGTCGCCTGTGTGTGTTAAATTCTTGATTCGATCAATCTGTTCTGCTAGTGTAAAGTTGCGAATCACAGCTGGAAGATTGAGCGCCCTCCAGTGGTCTGCGATGATATTGTCCTTCCACAGTCTGTCAACAGTGCTTGATGGCATGAACCAGCCCAGTCTATAATATATACATAAATTTACAAATTTTTGTTTATATACACATAATAATAATGGTAATATAGAAGTAAATTTATACATGTATAGGTGTACATGTACTTATTGATAATAATAAAATCTTAATTAGAAATATCTAATTCTCTTTTTAGTTTAAACTTATTTATAGTACAGCATGATTGCGAAACAAGTTCTTGCAACTTATATTAATCACTTTCAAGTCAACTTCCTGGAACGAATTAGTACTGGTGTCATATGAGGAAACCTGATCACGACCTGAGTAGGGCTCAAACCCATGATCCCTGCACTGAGAGGCAGACACCTTAACAAATAGACCACTGCTACCCTTTATATCTCTCTGAACATGGTTGACGAAAGTTTAAACATTAGTATAAACATGTTTTGTTTTTGTTATTTTTAAGTCAAATCCAAACAAAAATGTTTTCATAACAATAACAAATGGTTTTTATCTTGATAAACTTACTATGGTAGCAAAAATATTTAGAAAAATCAATTTGAACAAAAAAGAACAAAAAATATTTTCATCTCACTTTGTGTTATCTTTTTTTCTTGTGGGCATACTTAATTTGCACAACATAGATAAAATATATCTTTTTGATGGTAACTTAACCATGTCAAACTTTTTGTATTTTCTTTTAAGAATTTGACAAATTCATTATGGAACTTTATCTAAATGTAAAAAGTAAAATCCTGTTTGGTAAAATAATATGCATTTGATATTATTTCCCCTTTTATTAAATGTTTGAGTTATTAACTATGTAGTACATGTAATTTTAAAGTTCAAACCTCCCAAATGGACCGAGTGGCCCTAGATCTATGACATTTCCCCGACTTGTCCACGGTACCCGGCTAAAGCCAGCCATCATCCAAACTTCTGTATTGACCATGGTCTCAGGGCGAGTTTGTATAGTTGTCTCCAAACATCTGTAATTAACAATCACATCTACAGTTAATGTTTTCAAAATGCTATTTATAAAGTTGAGATAATAATGTTTATTGAAATAGAAACAATTAGAACTCTTGGGGTTTCCAATAACAGGAAGTAGACTTGTTTATATACTGTGCTCTTGGGATAAGTGGTTTAAAATCTGCCATCAAAACTTTTTAACAATGCTGTCTCTGTTACAGTTATTTTATAACAAGTCAGCAGCACTTATTATTTTCATCAAGATAAAAAGTGCGCTGTCCTTAAGGGTATTTCTAAAAAATCTTCACTAAATCATTTCAGTAATTTGTTTTATCAGTTAATCAAATGTTCAAATATGTACAAAGATATCAAAACAAGTAATCTAACATACGGTTTGTTTACAAAATAACTTACATTTATATGTAATAATTGTATATTATTTATGTACATTAGGTGTAATAAGAAAGATTTCAATCAGTTTAAGAATATAGTCCTTTTTTATATATGTATACTGTTGATACGCACTTGTCTTATAAGATGCACCCCTTACTTCTGGCTCTTGATTTGGGGATTTTCATGAAGACTGTCATATAAGACACACCTTTGTTGTACATCATAAAGAGTTAATAATAAAACATAAATGACCTTTCTGTACTAGTATTGCATGTTTGACAACAAGAAGTGCATGTCGAGTCATTTAAACGGGTTTGAGCTGGTATAGTCTCTGAATTATTTTTATTATTATCAATGAGTCAGCTGCTGTTTTTATTTCATATTTCAGTCCTGTATCCTGTTGTCATGTCTTGTCAGACATAATATTGCCTATGTTTGGTAAATACACACTAAATGAAGTGCATATTTGAACAGAATTTGAGAGCTTAAAAAAAATCAGTGCAGCCAATGACCCAGATGAGTAAGTATGCAAACCTTTTGTTGACTTAGATTCCAATATGGCAGACTGCCATTGAACTAAAATGAACCTGTCCTATCTAAATATTTGTTGACAGGTCTATACTGACAACTCAATACACTGGGAGACTTGTATAAATGTAATCAATCTAGATCTATATACATTGTATCTGCAAATAGGTTTGTATTTGAAAGCATTTAATTCAAATGAAAAACCAACCAAACTGCTTCATTTCATATAATACAAAAATTACCTTAATTGCATTTCTGTGTGTATTTTTTATTTTATCTTAAATTTTAATAATATCATAAATATGATTTCACATGATAAAATAAAACGGAAAACAGGAAGAAAGAAATCCCATATAAGAAGACTAAATTGAACAAATAACATAATACCTGGTTTGGTATAAACATAGTGAAAACTTAAAGGTCATCCAACTTAGTTAGAATATGTTGGTTTCAATGACCCAGGCCTGTTCATAGATGGTAGTGGTTAATGAAAGCTACTGTTTACAATTTTCCATCCAAGCACCGACTTTAATGCAGAATGAAAACAGAAAAATAAGAATTTAGATAAAATTCGAAAGATGTCTCATATACAAAGTAGTAGTGATCATGGAACTTGTGAAAATGACCTGAAAAATGGTGTGCAGTCCTCTAGTAAACTGCAGTCACTATATGTTCCTTCTGTACATTATTTTAGAGATTAACCGCTACCTTAATAGCACCTTCTACCTAAAGTTACATCTTTACTAGAAAAATTGTTTAACTTGAAAGAATTAAGATAGTTGTTAAACCACAGGGCGAACGGGGGTCCTCCCGCGGCAAATACATATATGTACACTGAATAGTTTGTATTTTCAATTCAATGCACTCAACATGTTAGAGTTGTAATCATGAATATTTTGGGGCCATAAAAGAAATCTCCCCCCCCCCCCCCACCCCAGCAAGTAGTGGGGCCATACTGAACATTTGTAGTGGGGCCATAAAAGAAATCCCCCCCCCCCAACCCAGGCAAGTAGTGGGACCATAAAAGCACCTGAACCAGGAGTAGTGGTAGTGAGAGGCCTATTTAATTTGTAGTTAGCATCCTTGATTACTCAGCCATTCAGGCTAAACCTTTAACAAAGTCAGTGTGACATAAAAACTGAGCAAAACAAAAAGAAAAACAACATTACATTGACAACAATGTGCCCTCTTTCTCTCCTTAAAGTAGAAAGGAAATCAGAAACTTATAAGGTTATCATGAAACTGTTACACAGATGTACCAAATGTTTGTATGTCATCATTAGTTTTAAAGATATATTCTTTTTTGCATTAAACAGTTGCCTTGTACAATAAAGTCATCTGTTTTATTGAACAGAAAATGATCACTTGAGCGAGCAAGAAACATATTTTCTTTTGATATATAATGAATCTGACGCTATATAGACGTTCGCATTATGAGCTATGCTTATTTTTGCCTACAAAATATTAATCTATTTTGTATAAATTAGGCACTTCAAACATTTTAATAAATTTGGCAGTTTCATATCAATATAAGCATTTGCATTTTAAAACTTCAAATAAGCAATATTTTTTATCATATAGTCAGGGTAGTTTTTGATAAGACAACTTTTAGCAGTTACCCCTCAGCATATTTGAATATGGGCTTCTCAATTAGTCTGATATATGTGATAGATCATTGTAATTAGTCCAAAGTAAGTTTGCATGCAGATACAAAAAAGCTTTTTTTCATGCAAATTAAACAGCTCTCAAGTGTATTTTTGATTTCAGACCAAATCTCAGTATATCTGCATACAAGTCAAACAGAACCCAGTATGGTTTTTCTGTAGGTCTACATATGGGCAAAATAGCTCTCTGTATGTCTACAAATGGACACTATAGCCCTCAGTAAATGTATGTCTACAAATGGACATGATAGCCCTCTGAGTAAATGTATGTCTACAAATGGACACAATAACACTCAGTAAATGTATGTCTACATAATTATGGGCACAATAGCTCTCTGTATGTCTACATATGGGCACAATAGCTCTCTGTATGTCTACATATGGGCACAATAGCCCTCAGTAAATGTATGTCTACATATGGACATGATAGCACTCTGAGTAAATGTATGTCTACAAATGGACACAATAACCCTCAGTAAATGTATGTCTACATAATTATGGGCACAATAGCTCTCTGTATGTCTACATATGGGCACAATAGCTCTCTGTATGTCTACATATGGGCACAATAGCCCTCAGTAAATGTATGTCTACATATGGGCACAATAGCTCTCTGTATGTCTGTATATGGACACAATAGCCCTCAGTAAATGTATGTCTACATATGGGCACAATAGCCCTCAGTAAATGTATGTCTACATATAGGCACAATAGCCCTCAGTAAATGTATGTCTACATATGGGCACAATAGCTCTCTGTATGTCTACATATGGGCACAATAGCCCTCAGTAAATGTATGTCTACAAATGGGCAAAATAGCCCTCAGTAAATGTATGTCTACGTATGGGCACAATAGCCCTCAGTAAATGTATGTCTACATATGGGCACAATAGCCCTCAGTAAATGTATGTCTACATATGGGCAAAATAGCCCTCAGTAAATGTATGTCTACGTATGGGCACAATAGCCCTCAGTAAATGTATGTCTACAAATGGGCACAATAGCTCTCTGTATGTCTACAAATGGGCACAATAGCCTAAGGCAAACTGTTGGTCTGCATATGGGTACCATAGCCCTCATAATGTCTGCATATGGGCACCATAGCCCTTCTAATGTCTGTATAGCCCCAATAAGTATATGTGAACATGGGCCTAAAGTCACTCAGCATGTCTGCTTTCAGACCAAATAGCCCTCTGTATGTTTGCATATGGAAAATAATAACTATCAGAACTTATCACAGTATTTATTCCAACCATAGCTGCCTTTGTACTACTTTAAAAAAACAACAACAATGTATTTTAATGCTAAAATAACTTGAAATAGTAATTCTTTTAATCATTACAATAATTTACTCAAGAAAGCATGAAATAAACCCAAAAATCAAAGACTTCAATCAACTTAATTTGGTGACAAATGTGATTTGATATTTGACAATAAAGACTTTTAAGTCACACAGGTGTTTCCAGCTGTTCAAATTAAGTAAGCAACAAAAGAAACCACTGAAATCATTTATAACCATCAACAAATATCTTAAAGTTTAATATATCCCACTTTCTAATTTCAAACATGTCTAAAAATTTCAATATAGTACTGGGGGACTAGAAAGGATTTAGCCCTTTCTCTGTTGCTTTTGTGTAATGTACATGTCCTGCTTGTTTTGTGTGTGTGTGTTTTTGTTTTTTTGTAACAGTTAACAGTAAGTAGATGTCATTTCAAAAACCGAAATACTTAGATCAAAAGGTAACACAGTAATTCCTATACTATATATATCTTCATTTTTATATCCCAGAATAATTATTTCAATGGACGGAAGTGTTGGCTGTGAGGTTATATACAGGCTCTCTGCAGTTGTTTGTACATTTACACTTCATCCTTATCCTGATCAATTAATTACCTCAATGGACCTTTTTAAATAAAGATGAAAATCTGGAGTTGATCTGCCAACTTTACATGCCTGATCATACTGAATGGATGTGCAGGCTAGCGAAGCCCTACACTTGTAGCAAGGGTGGTCACTTTTGGTTCCTGCATGCTAAATTTCAGACCAAGAAACAAAAAAACTCCTATCAGTGGCCTTTAAAATGAAATAATTTGGTAATTATGGTGGTAAAAAGTAGACATGTTGGGCCTGATCAATCTTGAACTTGTACTTTGTGCAATTAATAAACCATAAATTGAATCAGGAGGCCAATTTAATGCATTTGATAAAGTTTCTACCTTTTATATACCACTGGATCCGATCTTAAAGATTAATCACTCAAAACTGTTTTCCATTTTAGAAGAGTTTTGTAACTTCAAAGTGAAGAGTTGACTGGTAAGATAATTGAGGGAGATTCATGAGTAAAACTGGGAGTGTGATCTTTTAATATAGCAAACATCAAGGATTGAAAAATGATAAAGAAGAAACCACTAATGACAGCTTAATGAATTTGAATTTGATTTTATAATGTAAACCTATATGTTACTTCGTTCTAGGCCTGTTAAACGCACTTTCTTCAAAAATTGATCACTGCTTATTTAGTTCACTGGGTCTCTTTTTAATTTGTTGCATTTTCCTTTTTTTATTTCTTTATGATTGCATGAGACAAGTAACAAAGAGCCTTTACTAGATTATGAATTAAATCAAATTTAGCAAATTAAGTCACATTATAATTTGAATATTGTCTTTTCTGTCAGAAGCAACAAATAACTTTGTAAGGCTTCATTTTTACTATAACCCAAGTATGGTCACAAATGATTCAGCTTTCCGCTGTTGCTTAGGGTATAGTTGGAGATATGTTAAACAAAAACTGTTAACATGTACTTAATTAATTGAGCAGATGTTACTACATAATAATGTTTTCTAGTACATTTAATGTATAAACAAAACATCATTAAAACTTTCTTTTCAACACTTTTTTTTCATTGTCTTCATTCTAGATTAAAACTTACCCAGTTTCCGGACAGCCCGAGATCCTGTTCATGATCTTTGTTGCATTCATCGAGTCCTTTGTCCGAATCTCAACTTTTTCATACCCAACCACTTCTTCGAGGAGGATTTTGAGGATATGGTTTGAAATATTATGGGAGGCCCTCTTTGAGGTCTCCAGAACAATCGGTATACTCTTACCATGGTAAAACAAATGCCTCTTGTACTGGACAGCTAAAATATAGAAGTAACAGTTTAGAGGTAATAAAAATAACCATCAATGATTTATGGTTCAATAGTAACTGAATTATATACTGTAATCTTAAATTTAATTTAATCCTTTCCATGATGAATTGGTTCTTGTTCATCTTTAAATTTAGAACTGTCCATTGTGAGTTAAACCCTTAACCTGCGTATTTTGTGTAATGGATTTGCCAATCTTTGAATTTGGAACAATCCATTCAAAGTTTAAGGGGATTTAATATAAAAAATCAGAAATTGAGCTGTAAAGGGTGTTATCCTCCAGTCTATTGTAAATCTACCCTGCTCCCCTAACAGTGTGGGGAATAATTGGGGAAATGAGCAAAGTTTTTTTTTTCCCCAGTGTCCCTAAAAAAAGTCCCTTAAAAGTGGGACCATTAACAAGGGTTTAGTAATCCAAAAGGCAAAGCCCCTGTGCTATTTCCCATAGGGTAGAAAGGCCAGAATATAATTGAGAAATGAGCAAAGTTTTTTATTTTCCCCAATGTCCCTAAAAAAAGTCCCTACTGTAGGTGGGGCCATTAACAAGGGTTTGGTAATCCAAAAGGCGAAGCCCCTGTGCTATTTCCCATGGGGTAGAAGAGGCGGTCAATCTGATTTATTTAAAAGAATTTACATTGGTAGTCCCAAGCCATGATTTTTGGGAAGAGCATAAAAAGGTTAAAAAATGTCTTTATACTTATAAAAGAGAAGAGGCAGTATTTTAAACACACAATGGACAGACATAAATGTCACATTAAAGGTTTTAATTGTGTTGATGCGACTATAAAACAAAACTCTTTGGACAAAAAACTGTAAATCTTGAGTCATGAACAACCAAGTCTGTTGTCTAGGTCAGTAACATCAACTATCATAGTAGAAATTCAAGGTCATTTACAAAGAGCATGTTTAAGTGAATAATTCACAATCTCATGTGCATTTTTACACAGTTCTTAAGATTTATAACTATTCAAAATATCAGGATACATTATTTTTTTTTTTTGCCATGAAAAACTTATAGAAGAACAAAAGGATCATGCAAATATTAATAGCATGTACTTTTACATCAGACCTATATTTTACTATATAATTAATTGTTGGGGATAAGAATGTCACCTTTGTTACCTTCAGTAAAAGTACACTGAAATTATTTAGGAAATTTATATCCTCCTTAAAAAAACCTATACCCTACATTATATGATAGATGTCTCTCTCAGAATATTGTGATAATAATATTAAGTTATTAGCAGCTTGCCAATGTTGTAAGTTATATGGCACGGACTAATATGACAAAAACATCAAAATGAAAATGTAAAATCTAGGGAATAATATTTAAAAAAGAATAGCAAAGCTAAAAGTACATAACTTAATAATGTCTTATGTAGGAATGACTTA